CTAATTCAAGTATTGTGCAAAAACGCATGATCGCACCGGCTCGCCTGGTGCGTTCCAGCCTACGTTCTGATCAGCTGCAGACAGTTTTCATTTTTCATGCTTATGCAAATATCCTGCATCTGGGGCTGCGTAAGTGCGGTCGGTTCATTGTGACAGTTTATAATGAGTGGCTTCGGCAATTTGTTTTATTTTGGGGGCTCAGCTTCCGACCGAACGGTTCATGCCGTTTACCTTTGATTCTCATAAGCGCGTTCTACTATTCATATTTCGCATTGTTACGCTTCCACCTGCTATTGTAGTGGTCGGTTGGCTTTCCGCTTCCTGAGGTAGTGAAATATATGTGCGGGGTTGGGCAGTTTCTCCAGTAGGAATGTGCTTTTTTTGGGTATCTAATTTTCTGTGTAGATTTTTTCAATAATCACAACCATTTGTCGGATTTGCAAATGCCTTTATTTCGGATGTCATACGCTTCGCTTCTTTTACTGACTTCCTTCACTATTGAAAAGCAGTGCTTTCTTGCTGAAAATTGAAGTTTTGATTGAGCCAACGGGGCAGTCAGTCTCTTCAAGGATTCGCTTCCTAGTTTTTATAGCAAATTGGTTTCTGCATATGCCAGGGAGATAAAACTACGGTCAGTATGCCGGCAAACAAAACTGAGAAAGGAGAGTCATCGACTACCGCTCTGGCTACTTTCGGGTGTCTCTGCTTCTCAGAGAAAGCAACTACGAAAGTGCTTTTGACGTTTGATACACACCTTGATTTCGTGCACCCAGTGACTGCTCAGAATTCTCGGAAATCTTTGTGTGGCGGATATCCGTTGGATGAGTAAATTTGTCGTCTCGAAATCTGTAGGGGTTTTTTCCCAAAGAATCTCTGAGGTTTTGCAGATGTACGCGGTGGACAGAGAAGGATACTGGTATGTGCAGGATGCTACCGGCAATTTCGTTCTGCAGCCGAGCTACCATCAGTACGGCCATACTCCACACACTTCACTGTTCCCACTCGATAGTCAGGGACGGTTCACGCTGCCAATGAATGCTCGCGGAGAGAAAGCATTTCCGGTGGATGCCAACAATTTACCGATATTTCCATACGATACAACCACCCATATGCCGACATTTCCGGTCGACGAGAACGGACATCCAGTCTTTCCA